GCCAAAGATTAAGTTGAGAAAATTCTAATATGAAATTGTGAAAAGAAACTAATCCAACATCTTTTTTTTTATCGGGCAAACTCGATTTTCTCTCAAACTTTGGTGCTAGTGGGGTAATCTGATACTCTGATTTCGAAAATCATAAACATCCACTACGACAGAGTCTTGCTGTGGGATTACACAAAGCCCTGTCAAGAGGGTTATGATTTTTTGTGGAATTTAAAGCGGTCAAAACACACATCTACCCTAAAGTCTACAGATATTATTCGATAAGCTACGGAAGCACCATAGGCATGTATTTTCAATCCCCATATTTTAAACAGATCTACAGTTTTAAAATCCTCCATATGCCTGCCGTAACCACTCTGTATGGTTCTATCATGCGAAAAAGATAGGACTCTAAGGCAGCATGCCAAACGACTCGACCATTAAGTATCTTGTTTTCGACATCTTTAAATTACAAAAAACGTGTCGGAAGTACACTTGATATTCGGTTTATTTACTTTCATACGGTCAAACCGAATTGCCTATATTATAGTATTCACGCTTTTCGTAGAGAAACACAAAGACTTCGAAAGCTGCAGAACATATCCGACAATCAGTATCATAGTTCGAATATTACAAGAAACAGAAAGTTACTATCTTAATGATTTTCAACATGCAGAACATCTACAGTTTAATTTGTATTTCTATAAAAGCACCAATACATCTCAGATTTGAACGGAATTCTCCCAGTTTGCAGAATCGTAGTTCGATTGAGTATCTCTCCTTTATACCTAATTGCCTTGGTTACATGATGTCTGGAGTCCGCTGAACAGTTCTTGGACAACTAAATATGGAAGTTAAATCCTTTTATCGCAACCGCACATGTAATCACATCTCGGCTTACAAAAGCAGATAACAAATCGCCTATCTTTATTTCTTATTAAGATCTTTTCGTATAAAGAAAGTTGTATAATGCAGGTAGCTGTTAATGATAATGACAGTTCTACTAAAATTATGCCTTTCGTAGAATAATGCCATGTGCTATCAGCGGGGTATCTGCTGTTGTACGATGGCCGTCTGTTCCAAATAGGAGTTGGCTTTTCAATTACAATCATCAACTAATCATCTCATTTCCGAAGCTAAACAAAGCATTTACCAATTTTCTTCTTTCACATTTTTTTCCAGGTCAAAGCGCGACGATATCTATATGATCATACGGATGAGGGATACAATCTCATCCCATGGCGAAACAATGCATGGGTGGAAATTGCCGACGCCCTTGACTCCTCTCGTGAGTTTTAAAG